TATTTCCAAAATCACACGATAAATACATTTTTGAAGCTTGTAAAGGGAAGATGACAGGCACCCCTCACTCGCACCCTGCTCTTCCGCAGCGCTGCTCCCCCTCCCTCCGGCTGAAATTATGAATGTAAGGCGTATAGTAATCATAGATAACACGGCAGGGTCCGTTACAGTTTGTTTTCATCTGATTTCAAATAAACAAAGTCTTGGCTTTCAGAATATTAAACTTGTTTCTGCAAATTCAGATGATAAATGCAACTTTGAAGCTTGTGACGGCATAATTACAAGCGGAGAACGGAGTAACTTAACGTCACAGCAGGCATAACAACAGCCGGTGTTTCTCGTCAGTGTTTTCCCCAGGAAACAAACACAATACACACAAACGCAAAAATACACACACTCGTGAGCTTCTCCCAGACCAGTAATCCAAACGAAAATATGTTTCCTCCGTACTACTTTGACATTTGCTCCGCTAATAATCAATCAGATCGATGGATTCCAGAGAAGAGGAAACTTTGAAGGCCTTTTTCTCAAAATGATGACTCTGTGACAGTCATTATATAATGTGACATATTTTGCTTAATATTTGGAGTACAACAACAATCCTGATATCATTAGAAAGCTAGGAATCTCCTCTTTCCAACAGTGTATACAACTCAAAATGTGTCTTCGGGTCAATGCGACTGATTTCGATAGAGCAGGTCACATATTCCATATTGGAAACCTTCCATGGGAATAATGAGAATGTATGGGAACTAACTGGGAATTGAGGGTAATGTAATCGAATTGTATCATATCCAAGCATAAATATAAACATTTTGTTTTGTCATAAGAAAACATCCATGCAAAATTATACAATTAAAAAAAACATAAAAAGTGTGGTACAGTCTTCTAGAAATCATCTGTGCATGTGATGGAGGAATGCACAGTGCCTGTAGGGGGTGTGGTCTCAATAGCCATGCAGTAAGCAGTGTGCTATGTAGATGTGATTGAGGAATGGCATGGATATTCAAGTGTACTTGAATGGCATCTGTTTGTTTTAGTCAAGATTATGCTAAAATATACTTCCCCCAACTATATTTAAGTTCCCTATGAAGAGCCAACCTTCAATTTAGAAAATTCCCAGTTTATTCCCGTTTATTCACATAAATTCCAGTTTATTCCCATAAATTCCCATGGAAAGTTTCCATCTTTGAAAATTCCTGGAATTTTGCAACCCTACTCCTGTTACCATGACAAAAATGACACTGTATTGATACAGCTGGAAAAACAGAAAATTTGAATGTGACTGAAAGATATATTGTACTGTATTATTGTCTGAAACTAAATAAAAAATAAACCTTTTTTCAATAAACTAAACTACTGTATTTTTTTTTTTAAACTCCAAATAGCCAACATTTTTTTTATGTTAAGATTGATTTAAACTGGGAACTATCTAAACAAAAAAATGACTAATCAACACTGTTGACTTAAATAACTGCTGACCAATCAGATTTGTCACGGGGCCTTCCTGACACACGAACACATGACATCAAGTTAAAGTCACACTCTGACCTGGATTTGCTGCATGTGGTTCTGGGAGTTGTAGTTCTCCTGTGATGGGTCGGACACGCCTGCAGACACGGCGGTGGCTTGGGTCAGGACCCCGGTGCCGTCGATGGTCTCCGGGAGATGGGAGGTGTTGGAGGAGGAGGTGGTGGTTGGCACGTAGAGTTGGTGGTGGTCGCCGCTCACAGTCACCATCGACTGCTTAACGTCCTGACCCTGATTGTCCAGCGTCTGGCCGCCCATGATCAGCTGACCTTCAGCCGTTACCCCAGTTGCGATGGGGACCGTATGCGCTCCGGTCAGTCCTAGAGACTCCAGGTCCACACTGTTTATGGGGACGAACGTTATGTTGCCCGGCAGCCCCATGGAGCCGGTGTACGTGGACCCCCCTAGTGAGACCCCTTGGATGGACTGGACCTGCCCGGCCTGCGTCAAGAGGTCAGAGGTCGTCGTCGTGGCACAGCTGATCCCAATGCTGCCTTGACCACCATCGTGAATGAGCTGGATCTGCCCCGTGCCATCATCCAATCCATGTGTGAATCCTGACAATGTCCCATCTGCATTTTGGATTTGGGGGATTACCTGGAAGAAGGAGCGGTGGTTTAAAACAAGATCATCGCCTGAACAGACTGTATCTTTGTTGTGTTTTTGTTTTTTTTAATGTTTTTTACCTGATACTGGATGCCTGACACTCCATTGGCTGAACCATCATTCCCAGATGCTGTAACATAAATGGGCTGGTTTTGGAGACTCCCAAGAGGAAGTACATACTGTCCATTGGACGTGACAATTCCCGAGTTTTGAATGTGAAGGATTCCCTGGTCTTCCTTCCCAGATGAGACCGGAGTTAACACTTCCCATCGGTCTGAGCCCGTCAACTGAATGGCTGACATATCTGTCGTCTGGGATTGAAATCAACACTCAAGATTAACAAGGACAGATCACACTTCAACAAGAGGACTCATCTCAGCTTTTGATTAGATCACAGGAACACAGAACCAGCCTGGTTTTTGTCCTGAAATCAGCTATGGATTCAGAGATTGTGCTGCTACACCAAAAGACAGTAAATCATAAGGAGGGGGGATCATGTAGGATTTGTGCTGATGCAAACGATGCAACAGCCACAAGCAACACAGAGTGAAGATAACAGGCTCAGAAATGGTCGAGAGCAGAGAGTGGGGGATGGGTGGCTGTTACAGCACAATTGAACGCTACAGTTTTGATTAAGGACGATATCCCTACAATATTAAAACACCAAGGCATCTTCAGAGCCAAAGGTACACCGGCTATCTTCCAACGAGTCCAAGTGACTGACTCCAGTGTCCTACCCACTATGGGCGGGTTTTACAGGGGTAAAGTGGGTGGCCGTTATTGAGGGGAACACAGGAAGTGTACGGCTTTCACCCCATGCCATCAAAATTGTAAAACGTGTGAACTTCATGCTCACAAAAACACAACCAGCAATCGAAAGCGAGCGAGAAAGACGGGCTAGAAAATGTCGGATACCTGTGTTTCCGTGGCGCCGCCGGGCTGCAGAAACTCGCTTTGACTGCTGTCCACGTCCGCGGACGCCATTTCTCCTTGTTTCAGAGGCTGCTCTGGCGCTAGCAGAGAGAGAGGGGGAAACTCAGCAAAACTCTGTAATCTTCAACTCCTGCCTGCCAGAAAAGCCCGCAAAACATCCCCACTCTCCAGTCCAAAAGGAGCTGAGTGCGAAATGCAACTTTGCAACCAAGATTGTGTGGCGGTATCGGCCTAGATTGACTGTTTACTTTGTCAACTCCGTGGCTAGCCAGCTAGCTCGGTTAGCTAACCATATCTAGCTTGTTAGCAGCAGAGCAAAAGATAAAAAGACGCAGCTTGCTTCGCTGTTGCACAAACTCACCGATTAGTTGCACGCTTCGCTGCGCTAATGGTTTACGTACCAGGCATAGCGTGAGTGGTAGTAACCGGGAGGATTATCTGAAAACTAAACTCCAAACATGATTATTTTATCAAAGGCGGGCTAGTGTTGATCGGTGAATTCGGGTCGATTTTTTTCTATTTTGATTGACGGTGCGGGAAACACAAAAAGGTGGGACTAACAGGCTTGACCGTCGAATTTGCATCACATTACAGGACGTCCCGCCCTTCTTCTCTTATGTGATTGGCTGAGCAAGAGGTTTGGCGAACGCCATTGGCTAAGAGGGATGTCAATCGGTTTTTCGTAGTACGTGTGTTTCCTGTTTGTTGTTGAGCTGAGACGAGATGGAATGCAGTTGAAGAATTCCCAACAGAGATCCTGTTTAAAAAGCGCCGTTTAATTCGAAATAAAACAATTTATTTTCCTTTTTTAATGTTTAAATAAGTTATATATTTTAAACCGCCGGCGTTGTTTTAATTCAGTGCGCGCTCTCTTCGCCAAAACACATAAACATGCGAAAGACGAGGCGCGAGAGTTAGTTTCTCAAGTTTTATGTTTACTGTAGATCCAGTTGGTGTCCATTACTACCACAAGGAAGTTCTTTAAAACGTTATTACAGACTTAAGAAAACGTGTAGCTGCTTACAAAAGTCGAGTTCGTGTTCAAATTGTGAAATTATTATCCAAATGAACATTTCAATTCTCACAAAGCTATTTGTGTTATTTCTTAGCCATTCCCTTCATTATTATACACAGTGAGCTAGGGTTAAGGCCCTAGGCTAAGTTGTAACATATATATTATACTGAGCTATCGCACATAATCACAGATCACTTTGGGCCAATATCCACATAACAACGTTGTTGTTACAGCATCTCAGTAGTCAAAGAAGCAGAGTATAAAAGTGATGGAGTGATACATGAAACGGAAAAACAACTACACAAATTAAATAACATGAACGATACTATTTTGATTAAGGATAGATGTTGACCATAAGAGTGGATTGGTGTGGACCAGAATCAGAATCAATAAACCTGTTTCTGATTCTGGTGTTGCTTGGCACACAGAGGTAACAGAAACCAAAAGTCAAAATGCAACTTGACCTAGAGTGTGAAATGTGTAAGTCACAAGATGTGTCCTACTTATCCAGTGTAGTAAAACAATGCTTCCTTAATGCAGTGAACGGGTCACATGACATGGAAACCATTGAACACATCAAAGAGTTTTAAATAAAAAACACTGCAGTGGGAGTGAATGGAAGCTATTGAAAATCATGACATGTACTTTTTGTAAGCATCATTTTCAGTGAGGCACTATGGGCAAGTTAGTATAGTAGTAATTCATACAACATAGTTTTTGGGTCATTTATTTTCCACCCAATCCATTTTCATTCAGATATATTGAGGTGAGAGGTCAGAGAACCCTGTAAACATGGCTGTACATTTTTCAATTGCCACATTTTAGCTGGCATGACATGTTCGTTGCTATGGCCCATTCCCTTTTGTTGTAGCTTAAGTCTCTAACATCAGGACAAAAACTGAAATTCACAACGCAATGGCAGGTTTGTCTCATTTTTATTGACACATGCATTTTGATGAAGATGGGATTTATTTTATCCTGGCTTCCTGATGTTCATATTATTTTGTTATCGTCCACAAGATGTTTATAATTGTATGGTGCTCTTGAAAATAAAGACATCCACACTGAGGAGGCAGTGAAGTGAAAAAAGAGGCATTATGAAGCTGTAAAGTCCAGGTGATCCACAAAGCAAACTTGTAGCTGATTTACATTAAAGCTTTAACACAGCGTGGAGTACATTTTAACTACCCCAAACCAAAGTCAATAATAAAAGCAGTGAGTATAACATCAGTCTCCATTCAGGTGTCCCATCCCACTCTGTCAGGGATGCCTGCTTTGCTTTTTCCAAAATAACAATACTACTCCCCTCAGAATACAATACAGTACTGTCCTGAAGAGCAACACTGGGTGATGGCTTTCATTCTCTGTTATAGTCAAAGCACCGGTCAAAAGCATTACAACCTGTGTATATTTCAGCATATTGGGATAATCATCTAAGCATAATTATGACTTTATTGTGAAAAGCATAAGCAACTGAGGAAATAATTAATGTCTCTTAAATTCTAGGGAAACATTTCCAAAACTCATTCCTGATGGCCTTTACTTAATCCAGAATAGGTATCTTTGGCTAACAACACGTGTTGTACGTTATCCTTATCAGTACACAGTTGAAACATTTCTTTTAAAAATTAAGAAGCTTCATATGTGCTTTATAGATAAAGCACATATGTTTGTAAAAAAGTGTTTATCATGATTATGGTTATGATATGAGAGTTTTTGCCAATTAATCAGCATGTTTATTATGAAGGTAATAACAGTAGGACACACTGTTATTGCTCTAATGAATAAAATGTGTTCTTAAAGATACATTTCAAAATAAGAGTCTTTGAGAAGTGTGGCTTAAATTATCCAAAAGTAAAAGCATTGAATTCTGTATTTTTCAGTTCAATTATAAATCATTGTAGTTTGAAAATGTTCTCCAAATATTACTACAAATTATTGGAGGTCCTGAGTTGATCCTCTGAATTCAAGTAAAGAATGAAACCCATCAGACAGCGTGGCTCTTTGGGGTCAGACTGAACCGTGCTCTGAGCTCTCCCTCTGGTGTTTGTGTTTGCTCATGGTTTCTTCTTAGGTGCACTGGGTGTGTTGAATTTGAAGAAGATAATGTCGCCGTCCTCCACCGTGTAGGTCCTGCCCAGTTGCCGGTATTTTCCAGCAGACTGTGAAAGAGAGGACACATTTGAATTATAGTCAAGGATGTTTCCTCAGAGAGTCAATGCTGATATTGGCAGAACTCCAACAGTGCGTGAGTTCAGGCACATCTTTTTTAAAACACACACACCTTAGCTGCAACTTCACTGCCTTCCTCTTTGAAGTCAATGTACTTCATCACCTCCGCCATGATGAAGCCTTTCTCAAAGTCAGTGTGGATCTTTCCGGCAGCTTGAGGAGCCTTGGTCCCTTTCTGTTGGAGCAAAACACAAAAGAACATTTTAAAAACATAACAGAAAATATAACAAGATGCTGCTACCTTATCAAACATTGGAGACAAATATGTCTATATACATGATATGAAGGCGACAAAAGAGAAAATATCACTGGAGCCTTTGAAGGTGGCCACTAAAGACCAAAATATATACAAGAGTGATTTTTTTTGGACAAAATCCAGAATATTTATTCTGCTTAAAGAAATCAAATGTAAATAAATGACCCTTTCAAACAACACTAAAGGGGACTTCGGAATAAACATTTCATTTGGAGGTCACATTAAAATGACAAACTTTAAAAGACACATTCTTTTATATGGCAGCACGTACCCTGATGGTCCACGCTCGCACCTCATCTGGTCCCGCTGTGAAGAAGTACTCCAGCTGCAGCGCTGCGTAGCCCGTCTTGATTATTTTGGTCATGACACTAGAGGCACAGAGGAGCAATGATGAAGCAGTTTACCTTTTGCTAAATAGTCATATTGACGCTTTAAACATAAGGATAAAAAGGTGTGAGACTTTTCTATTGCAGATACATTATTTAGTGACATTTAGAATAGCGTTTTGGTGGATTTTTTTTTACCATTCTGACATTTTATAAAATAACAGATTAATAATGATAGTAATTTATATTAATGACCACACATTAGTGGCAGTTAAACCATTTAAAAAAAAAACTATATTTATGATATTGTTGCTACACTGAGTTCCTGTCTCACCTCTGCGTCTTCAATTCCTCGCAGTACTTGTTCCTCTCCTCGTCAGACTCCATATCCTGCAGTTTACACTCCAGAGCTCCACTCACAGGGATGACCAACGCGCCGGGGTCATGAGCGTCTACCCACTCCTTGATTTTCACCAGCCTGAGAAAAACAGACGGCAGGGTGAGGTTTTATTCTGAATGTTCAACAATAGCTGAATACTAAAACAGTGTATGGGATAATCACACTGGGTAAGTGAAAGCAAACCTACCACTTGTTCTTCTTTCTGATGTAATCCTTCTCTGAGAGGTTAACCAGGTAGATCATGGGCTTGGATGTCAGGAACAGATATTTGTTCAACACATCAATCTATGGAGAGAAATTAAAAAGGGCACAAATCATGAAAAAGTTTGGTTCTCAAAAACGTAGTTTACCTATTTTCTCAGGTGACACTTAGGAGAGATAACGGTTTTGTCTGCAGTGAAAATGTAGTTTTTATAAGGCTAAATGTTGACAACAATGGATGAACCAAAATGTTGTCGATATTGGAAAATATGAAATGTCTTTTTTCAATGAATTTTAACCACTACTGGGATCTAATTCTAAAAAATAACATAATACCAAGAATATTAGTGTAGCATGCTCTTGACCTGCAAATGTGCAGAAATATTGAGTTAGAAGAACAAATAGCGACGCAACAAAAAAAGAGAAAAAATAAACTGTTATGGAATAATACAAACACACAGATCCTTACCTCCTTCTCGTTCCACTCGGGGTAAAACCTGATGTGTTTCTTTTCCTCCTCTACCCAGTTCTTCACCTTCAACATGATATCCTGAAGCGAGAAGATTATATTATCTGCTATATCCCCCAGTGATGCATAGTGACACAAATACAGACAGGACAACAGAAGGATAGCACTAACACTACGTACATATTCAGGTTTGAGTTTTTTGTCATTTCCTCTGACAGCAGTTTTCTCCAGCTTGTCGAGAACCGGAGCGATCATTTCCACGTCCTTTAGTCGCAGCTCCTCGTGGATGATCTCGATGTCCCTCACTGGGTCAACGTTACCTTCCACGTGGATAATATCCTCATCATCAAACGCACCTAAAAGAGGAAGTCAGAATTTGACACATTTTCACAACTTTGTCACACCATGTAATACCTTAGTCAAGCCATATCAGACCATTGATAAATAACATATTCTAAAACAGGGATACACAATGTTTTGTTTTTTCTAATCAATCATCAATGCATTGACAAGCTGCACACGAAACAGGGATTTTTAAAGTTAGTTATTTATATCTGTCTTTTAACTCCAGCTCAATGTTCAATGAAAGAATGTTTGGGATCATTTATTGTAATTTATTTATATAAGAATCAATAGTTTGATACCCAGTGATAACGTTAGATACCCTGCTATAGAACCGAATATATATTCAGGTACTGTCTATATACTCTTGTCTTGACCACAGACATAACATTAGTGCATTTCTAAAATGAGTCTCGTTCCCCTTTAAGAGGAGTAGCAGTAGATCTTAACTTGTCCTCCTAACACCTGTCCACTCTACTCAGTTGAAACTACACAGCAGCTGCAGGCAGTCATATTGACCACTGATTCCCAACCAGGGGGAGTTCTACTGCAGGGTGTACCTCTGCAGTTGCAAGGGAATGATAATAGAGAATCTAAACTAACTAATAACTAATAATGACATATCATAATTAAATCACAAGTTAATTACAAAATAGAAAAATGTTGAGTCTGCTGTAACAAGTGTGTGGCAAATGAGAAACTTGACAAGTAGATGCATACAAGTAGTAAAACAAGTGAGCTCAGAAGTCATAACTGTTAGCTAAAATAATTGAGTGAACAGTTAAAAAATCTAATTTCTGAAACTGTGAGGAGTACTACAAATGCACATTTGACTGATGTAAACATTGTCAGTTCATTTTCACGAATAATGTTATAGCAGTATCAACTTTGATATAGTTAAAAGATTAAATAACATCAGGTTTAGTTCATCCGACAGGGCTATCAGCGAAGAAGGGTGGAAACCTGGATTGAAAACTCACGAGTCATGTGGAAGATGCCATCACAGGCACCGATGTGGGAGAGGAAGGCGTTTCCAAGTCCCTGTCCTTCGTGAGCTCCCTTCACCAGACCAGCAATGTCCGTAACGTTGAGAAAAGCTGGAACCTTGCTAAAAAAGACAAAACAGCGAGACAAGGAGGGATCATCAGTCAGACAGAAATCCATGGACGCTGGACACAATTCAACCAGCTGTCAGGACAGAACACACACCTAAGTGGTTTGTGGTACTGGCAGAGGAAGTCATAGCGCTCATCTGGAACAGGCACCCTGCTCTCATTTGGGTCGATTGTGCAGAAAGGAAAGTTCTCTGCAGCAGCCAGGCTTTTGGTCAGCACGTTGAAAAAGGTGGACTTCCTGAGGATGACAGACAGGAGAGTGTCAAAAGCAGTGCAACCTTTGTTCATTCAGTCTCACTACACACACACGCTTAGCTAACATCCACATTGATTATAATAACATGTTAGTACATACCCAACATTGGGTAATCCCACAATTCCAATTTTCAGAGAGGTTCCGAACCGTCCGATAATTGGAGGCTGTTTGGGTGCTTCTGGCTTTTTGGGGGGCATCTGCAAAAGTTACAACAAGTTACATGATGATCTCATGTCAAAATATTCAAAAAAAGCCACGATTGTTTTGTAATAACACCCCAGTCTTATTTAAAGTCAGCTCTGGGCACTTGGCAGCTCCATCCTGTAGAACTAGCTCCACTGAAAACGTGTTAAAGCAGCTCATTCAAACACAGCATGCTAACGTTAGCTAGCTGTTAACCGCTCCTAGCTACCTGTTAGCCAAAATATGTGACTGAACACACACTAATGTCTGCCTTTTACAGTCATCACAAGTAGTCTGGAAGCTAATTAGGTATACATTGTTATTTTAGTACCGTTATGTCTTTTTTAGCCTATTTTATACGTGGTGTTCGCTCCTCTGGTATCTGCTCACACCAGCCGCTCCGGTGGAAAGGCAAGTCGGAGAGCAAACCGGAAGTGTTTTGACAGGAGGGGCCTGTGATTGGTCGGGACGCTTAACTAAATAAAGAAACTTTTTTATATTATTTGATATTCGATTTGTATTTATTTTGTAATTAATATATCTGTGTTGTCTCAATTCTACTGTTCTAGGATATTAAGAGAACTTAAACGGAAATGTATTTCGTTGCAGTTTACTTTACGGCTACAAGTTTTACAGCATGCGTTCAAGAAGATGCACACAACCCAGAGCCCTGACACAACCCTATAAATAGGCCTATAGCAGTCTGTACTGTGAATGGATAAATAAAAAATAAAAAAAAGTATACAGATTGAAATGTAGCCTTATGATACAAGGGTCGTTTTAAAAGTATTTGTAATGGCATCCTTTCTGGAAACAATGACATAATATATTAAAAATAATTACTGAAAACAACAAATTTCAAATAATGACTTTGTATCTCAAAATAAAAACCCTTTCTCAAAATAATGTCTTACCCGACTCAAAACAAGAAGTTACTTTTCAAAGAGTAGATATGAGATTATTATTTTGACACTCATTATCTATCTGGCATAATTCAGATTAGAATATCCTAAACAACAGCAAATGTAAGGTCAAGGTCTGAGCCACAAATACAAGTTCAATGTACACTTGTGTTTTCTACTTGAAGACATGTGCAGGTCCATCACAGCAATAGTTGCGAGGTTAAATTTAGTTTCAGTGACATTCAACAAACCAGAGAAAAGCTTTATGCCAAACAACCGAGCCTCCCCTACATAAGGATTTTTGCAAGATTTTTAAAAAAGACACGCAATTCTGTAAAAGACTTTATTCAGCCAAAAACTTCAACTGTGACAACAGGGCTTCAATATGGATGTTCATTGTTCACTCATATCAAATGAGGGTGCATGCGTACAGTTCAAGCAAGTAATCATTTTATTTCTGTCAAGAAAAAAAACACACCAAATTAAAATGTTTGATGGGTGGCCATTACAGTATACTGCACACTGTTACTAAACAACAGAGGAAATCACCCAAACAATGATTTACTGTTAATGTAAAAACACCCAAATAAAGTAAATCTCACAACAACAAAAAAAGACAAAACTAAAAAGGTAACATGGTAAAATATTAATTAAGTGAAAACTGGGATCTTGAAATACATACAAAACAGCAAAACGAGAAAATGTATTAAAACTGCACATTTTCAATTCCTGTTAGCTGTTACGAGGATAACCCACAATCAAAACTTCACAGATTTCCTCAAAGCAAGGAGAGAGCTGGGCCTCGAGCCACTGATCATGTGAAAAACATTTTGATGCAGATCCAAAGCATTGCTCATTTCCACCTCATTCCTGTTTTCTGGCATTTCACTTTTTTTTCTTTTTCATTATTCTGCCTACAAATGTGGTGTCCATAAACTCACCATTTACTTTGCGGAGCTCGGACAGAGTGCATCTTTCGAACCATTTTTAAACCTTCAATATACATTGACAAATAAAGAATACATTTCACATACATAATCTGGTCCAAAAAAACCATACAAAGACAAGCATCTGATCAATAACACTGAAAACGGTGACTCTTCTTCACTGCTCAGTAGTGACCTGTGGGAAAGGACATGCAAGAATGTATTTATATCGAAAACAATTCAAGCATATTTTATACTTTAATGTGTGTTAACAGTTTTGTTTTTTTGGAGTATTTAACACTTTACTAATTAGGTGTCACTTTACCGTATTCAAGTTTTAATATATAAACATTATTTTTGTTTTTATGATTCTTATTTTGGAACATTGAGTAATATGTGATTGTACAATATGTAAATTATTGGAATAAACTGTCCATTCGTCAATATTATAACATTTGGTCTAATGATAGAAAAATGGTTTGTCCTCACGTGGCGAGTAGGACCGGGATCGGGATCGTGAGCGATACCCTCTGCTGTAGTAAGGAGATGGAGATCTGCGCCTGTCGGGAGAAAACAAAACCAAAGCACTTCATTTGAGGCCTTTAAATGTTACCAATGGTTAGGATCACTTAATGAACATGATCAACTTGAGTCCTTAAATCCTAAAAGCTTCATCTAGTACATAATATGTCTTCAAAATAACGATCAATAGACGAATGTGCCAAACAGGCTCCTGGTAAATCAACTTACCTGTATGATCTGTACTCTCTGTCGTCATAGCGTTCATAATCACGATCATAACTTCTGTCATAGCCCCTGACGGAGCCCCTGTCGCAGTCCCTGGAGTTACGCTGCGATGATGACCCACCACCACCACCACTGCTACTACTGCTACCCCCACCACCCCCACCACCTCCTCCGCTACCGCTACCGCCACCGCCACTGCCACTGCCACCGCCACCGCCACTGTAAAAAAAACACAGAATAAATACATAGTCAGAAGTTGGAAGATGTTGCACATAGCAGCTTTAAGGAAATGCTCTTACAGAATAATGTAAGCTGCCTGGTAGAGGAACACTCACTATGTTGGTCGTCCCATGTATATCCCAGGTGTGGGTGTATGGGCTCTTTTCGTAATGGAGAAATCTACTCTGATCCTGCGCCCATCAAGCTCCATCCCGTTGGCACGCTCCTTGGCCTGAAACAACAACTAAAGGTAATCCTTTTGTATTAATAAAATAATGAGTCAGTTTGCAATGCATTGGATTCAGGGGAAAAGTTAAATATGGAGGAACTCTAGACCAATGCCCTGCTAACGTTATGGCCAAAACTCCAAACATTTGAAGTATTTGTAGTACAATTATTTTTGTATTTGTCTGTTTTATCCGACATACCTCCTTGGAGTCCTCACGAGTTTCAAAGTAGACGAAGGCAAAGCCCCTAGAGCGACGTGACTGCTGGTCGTACACAATGTTGACGGCACTCAAAGGGCCGTACTTTGAGAAAACCTCCCTCAGATCCCTCTCAGTGGTGTACAGACTCAGCCCAAACACACCCAGACAGTTGTTAGGGTCTGGGTTGGCCTGTAAGAGTACATAGAGCAGTGTATAAATATTGTGAGCAACTGACCTGCCAAGCTGGTAGAAATCTAGCTTTTCTAAGCAATTCAGAACCTGGGTATCTGAATTTATTTGGTAAGAGAGGTAACATTCCTCAGGATTTACACAATAAAGGTTGTTTTTTTTGTATTATATTAAGAAATCATTTAAAACAACAAAATAGTTCAATCTACACACAGAAAACACTAAAGAGTCAGTTAGATGTATTTAGGGGTATTTCTTAGTACTTAAAAAGTAAAAGACTCCATGGGAACCCCAAAATCAAGCATGTAGAGGTAATTTTTACCCTGTTGCCAATGTGTCTGCGACGATTTGACATGGGTGAACGGCTGTGGCTCCTGTGCCGGCGGTACTCGCAGCTACGAGATCGGCTCCTGGAACGGCGTCGGTGGGAACGGGAACGAGAGCGGGAGTGATGCCTGCGTGAGCTTCTATGGGACCGGGACCTGTAGATAAACATGAACTTATCTCTGAGCAAGTCATTTATTTTTGAGTCAGATGAACAACTAGCTTCAGTAATGTATTTCAAGAGTCAACATGTCAAAAATAACTTTTAAAAAAACATAATTTTCATAAGCACATGAAAATAAACCATATCTTACCTGGATTTGGATCGAGATCGGGATCTGGACCTGGAGCGGCGGGAGCCATCTTTTGAGCGTACCGGTGAGCGGCTGGAGGATTTAGCGGAGCCCTGAGGGGACGCACTCCTCGAGCCAGGCTGTGAGTTCTGGACAGAGGACCAGACACGGAGATAAGAAACACTATAAGGCCCATTGTGTGCCAAATAGAGAGCCAGGAAGTGACAGCGTTGCCCTCAACATGCCCCCTTCAGAAAGAGTTTATCATATTTTGCCATTTAACAGGTTTGACACAACATATTTAGAAATGTGATTATAAGAGGTCATACATTGTAACAAATAGTTAAATTAGATATGTTGTAATTTAGCTGAAAGACATATAGCACAGAAAATAAGCTAAAATGTGTGTAAGGATTGACCAAAGATGTTTCTGATAGTGGAAAAAAATGTGCATGCTTAAGAGAAAGAAACAGGATGAAATACAGAAGCATAGCAGGCCGTTAGGAAATTACTCATACCCTTGTAAACTTCTGATCTTAACTTCATAACTTCTTTAACTTCATTACAACCCTCCATTTTCTTCTTTCTTCAGTTTGACATTATGACTTCTTTTTCCTCCTCTTCCCCCATTTATCATCTGCCATTACAACACTAGAAGTGGGGCCAGATCTTGATCGCTTCTTTTTCAGCATGGAATACATTAGCATGCATCAACACCATCAGCGCCAAACAATAACAACTTCACATCTGACACGTCTTCCGCCTTTTTCTTTCTTCATTACTCAACCTTAATAAAGAACAAACAAGGGTGATAAGGCATGTTGGTTTCCATAGGAACCAAAAAAGTTGAAAACAAAAACAAAAAGCAGCAAAACCAGAAAAAAACAACAGTCATTAGCTGAATACACGTTTGTATGTTAGCATGACATGGTCTTGATTGGTCATACATTACTATGGACATAATCATTTACTATTGAATTGTATTATTATTATTTTGTTATTACTGGTTGTCAATATTCCATTTGTTTGAGTTAAGTAACACATTAGCAATAAAGCTAGGTAGCAAATATCATGTCAAGTGGACGACTACATTACTCGACTGTAGGCCGTATGCTTTAACGTATCGGATTTATAAACATTTGAGACACACTCAGTAATTAAATGTCACGGTACTCACATGAAAGCTATATATTGCATCTAGTTAACAATACAGAACAGATGTTACTCAGTTTTGAAGCCAGGTGTCAGAATGTTTTGTTATTTACGTTACCAGCGATCGAAGCTATCATTTAAGCTAGCTAGATCTTCCAACTGTCATTACGTTATATAAATATCCCAACTCACCTGCTCCCTAAATTCTTTCTCGTTGTCGCTCATGTTATTATATTTAATGTAACACAGCAAATGCACGTGATAAACGAACTGTCACAACTGATTCAAATCCTCAGCCAAATTTACGGAATAGCAAACTGGTTTGAGTTGAACCAGCTAGCGTTAGCTTAGCTAATGTAAGATGGGACCGTTCTGAAACGAGAAATAATCTTTTCCGGTTCCGGTTGGTTTGCCAAAGATAAATACATCTTGCATTTTACACTTATATAATAAAAGCCCTGTATATTGAATTGCTTCCGTTTCATATTAATATTTTCATAAAAACCAAGACAGTATACTTTCATAATAAATGTTACAATAAGGCGAGTCATTTAATAAATCAAAGTCCATACTTTATTACAGGGAGAAAGAAAATCACATTTTTAAGCATGAACTCAAACATGCATGTGTGTACAGTAGTTTGCTATGCAGTATACTATACTATACTGTAAGTTTAAGTTAATGTTATAGCCCTAAGTAGCCTGCTCATGGAAAAGATTGCTAGATCAAACAGCGCCTTATGTTACATAATGGTAAACATCGATAAATGCTCCACTCATTGAGTAAAACAAACTATACACACTCTCCAGAAACACTTTCTCATCCAGTCAAGTCATAAATAATAGCAAAACAAACATACTTCAAGCGGTCAACCATGCATCTCTTTTAAAAAAGGGACTGGAAAGGAGGTATTGATTGATTTTCATTGTCTACATTTCCCACAGAGATTGCATTCATGACATTAGCATTGCAGTAGTCACTGTTGACAATACAATCTCACAGTTTGGAATTTACACCGAAATATCACTGATCTTCAACAATCAAATTAAATACATTTTGAGTCAGACTTTTGATTTGTATGTGACCAAGTAATTTCCCCAAATAAACAAAAGCATGCTCTCTAATTGGAGCTCAGTGTCAGAGGGCTGAAGGCACTTCCGGCAACACTTCAAACAGTAGAACCAACTATTAAGTCAATACAAAAAGCCATTCTGTCAGTAGTGCCAAAACTTGTGTAAAACATACACTTCTTCCATCCTGATAATGTCTCCAATTATAACTCAGAGAATTCAAAATGTTAATACAGGAAAGGAGATACAACCATCTTTTAAGACTTTGTTTTAATTTCCTCAGACCAGAGGCCTGGGGGGTATACTACGAATCTAGTTCAACATATCCTGGATATGTTTTGAGTTATCCGGTTGACTAAATCCAAAAAAAAAACGCTCTCGCTAAACTGTCCTACGACGCTGGCTATCAACTCGATCGCAAGCCAGCCGTGTCCTATCTAGTTAGGTGCGCGTTCACATAAAATGGGTGGTATCTGGGGCATTCGACCAATCACAAACATGGAGAAGCGTTCTGACAGCGCAGCGTCATACTTCCTGAATGAAAAGTCAACTATAATATTAGTCAAATATGAAGAAGTTCAACTTTAAACATCCATGACTTAAACACTTTATCCAGGATACAAGCCACATAGCTGCACCTGCAAGGTGAATACAGCTGGTAAAAGAAAAAGTGTTTGAATACGTTCATTACCAGCAGTATTCACCTTGCAGCTGCAACTATGTGGCTTTTATCCTGGATAAAGTGTTTAAGTCATGTTTAAAGTTTAACGTCTTCATATTTGTCTAATATTAGTTGACTTTTCATTCAGGAAATATATGACGCGCTGCGCTGTCAGTACACGGCTTGTCCATGTTTGTGATTGGCCGAATGCTCCAAATACCACCCCTTTCATGTGAACGCGCACCTACCTAGATAGGACACGGCTGGCTTGAGCGATCCACTTGATAACCAGCGTCGTAGGACCGCTTAGCGAGAGCGCGTATGTTTTGGATTAGGCCAACCGGCTAACTCAAACATATCCAGGTTAGGTTGAACCAGCTTCGTAGTACAGGCCTCAGAACAGCTACACTGGGTTCATTTTTGTCCACGTCTTTGGCCCATTCATTTTTTTCTTCAGCATGTAGTTCATCTACACAGATGTTGCTCCCATTCAGAAGGTCACTGTTGTTAGGCGGTTATTTGAAATTGTTGCGATCCTTTATAGCAGCTTCTGATTGAGGATTTCCCAAATCATTACTTTCCTGAAGATCGGCATGTGGCACTGTAGAGAAAAAGGAAAATGTTTCTCAAGCTTTCATATGAAACAGAGTTTTTACAGCTTTTTAGGAGTAATTCATTCAAGCTCTTTCAAGGTACCTAAAGCAAATCGTTACAGACTCCTGTTGTTACTAATTAATTGATTAAACGAGTAACTAGGTCAGGTATGCTCTGGGTCTGATGTGAGACGTCAGGGGACAACAAACAGCTGCTAATGGGATTGTTTAATTTCAAATATTTAATAGATGCAAATTCCTAACCCTGAAATCATAACAGCTGGAATGCAGCATTTTTAAAACTTTAAAAACATTTGAGGAAGTATATGAAATAATGTTGTAGAACACAACTAGATGCAGAAAAAACAAAACTGTATTAGGTGAAAATAACGTGTATACCTGTTTAAAGGTTAGAGGACTTCCTTTTGCGATATAGTCAGCGTATTTACATGCAAACACACCACAGTCGCTGCCATTCTTTTGCTGGGGAATCTCCTACAGAGGCAGAACAGAACATTAATCTCACAGTAAAATGAAAATATGAATTATAGTGATAAGTAATTTATCTCAGTCTGACTTACAGTGGCCCGCAAGCTCCCAACAGACCATTTAGTGCCTTCGAGCTCTCTGCCTTTCTTTACTTTGTGCTCCTCTTTTAGGTAATGTCTGGAAAAAAAGCATATTGATGTCATGTCAATTGATGTAAACATTTAAATGGACAGATAACCAAAGCAGAAGAACACAATGAGGACTCACAGTAAAAGACCGCAGATGTCATCGTGCCTGTGTCCCATCGAGTCATATGACTTAACTGTCTTTGACTTCAAATCAATCACCTTGAATCAGAGAGAGGGAAGTATAAGGTCAAATATATACAGTATAATTGCCCCGCTTTAATTTGTTCTTGAACACTTAACCACAAAACAGATGCAATAAGGATTTTTTACACTGATGAACAAAAAGGACATACTTTAACATTAAAGTTACAAAATAATGAACGGATAATTTAAGTACCAGTTAACCCCCTTGCTGGCAAAAACTGCTGAAGTACATCAGGAGCTGTCTGGCAAGAATCACCAACTAAAAAGGAGGAATATGACCTGGGAGGAAACCCTTCAAAGTCTTTGTTGTTGGGACTCACAGCCATCGCCCAGTGGACGCCCAGGTGCAGAGGGACCAGGAGGAGGTCGTAGAGGAAGAGGTCGACAGCCTTGGTCCAGCGCCTCACTGCCATGTGTCCGCCCGCCTGCCCGCCGCCGCCCCCCCGCAGCTTCGGGAAGAAGAAGGTGCTGAACGAGTAGATTTTCAATCCTGCTGCTTCACCAGAGCACCGCTCCATGACAAGAGACAGGTAGAAGTTCATCACCTTGGTAGAGGAAACAGGGGAGGCACAATATAACACATGTTTATCTTATCTACTTTGTTTTATATTTTATATTGTTGCATCGATTCAGTTGTCTTGTGTCTTATCTGTCAGAGAGAAACCATTATTTATTTTATTTTATTTGTATTATCATACATTTTACCTCCTTGTGTCTATTAACCTGATAAAATGTTATATTTCGCTGCATGTACCTGTAAAGTTCTTAACAAATAATCTGAGGGGAATTTCTTGTTGTTTTACTTGTGATAAGTCATTTTGTAAAGCACTTTGAGCTGCATGTGTTGTATGAAAAGTGCTAAATAAAGCTTTATTATTATTAAAAGTCCTAAATATATCTCTTCAGTAATTTGACATAAAGAATATTATGTTCTTTGAAGTTATAAAAAGAGGCTTTTACTTTCACGGCGTAATACAATGACACGTACAGTAGGTGAATGCTCACACGGCACAGAGAATAACAGCTGTATTCAATTCCAATGCCATATTTAGAAAACAGCTCGTGCAACAGGCTTTGTTTCCATGGTGACGGTGTGCAGTTGCTGCTACTACCACCAAACAGAACATGTCTGGTTCGTCAAACACTGACTTCACTTCATACACAAAAGACTCAACTAAAACACTGGTAATGAAGACGTAGGTAGCATTAACTTTTTCTATTACAAGTTCTTATTGCAAGAAGTGTTCGACATTCGACAGGGTTATGGTGTCATTGCTGTTCATACAGTGTAGATATAAATAATATGGATGAAAATATATACAATCGCACTTGTTATAAACAGTGTTTGGTATATCCTTTGAACACACCCCTTTGTTGAACACAATTGGTTACAAGTATTCAAAGTTGTTTGTATTAAATGAAACTAATGAGAAAAATACAATTAAAATCTAAATTGACATCCACAATAATATCAGCTTGCTAGAAACTGTCTTCACACTTTAAAGGTCCCCTATTATACTGTTTTGCATCAATATATACAAAACATGTCTCTGAAGTGTTTGGCTCCAAACACCAAACAGATCATTGCAGCATCCCACAAACCCCTCTGTTTCAGCCCTGTTTCAAAAGTGCTGATTCTCTGTCTGTTACTTTAGTTGAAAATAAGGAGCCACTCCCCACGCCCCTCTGAGAGATATTTGGTTAAAAAGAACACAAATTAGCCGCGTTCACACCAATTCAACCACCAATTCAACCCCTCCTTTTCACACATTCAGTGCCAGATTGTTGTTATTGTGGTAGCTAATCCCAGGCTCATTTTCCAATTGAATATTCTCAGTTAGTTCCCTCATGTATAACACTTGAATAAATGTATTTTGGTCTCCTGTGCTTTAGGATACCAGCCTTCCTTTCTGCTTAATCCTGATACTGCCCCTCGCAACCTAAGTTCACCAACGGCCAAGCCATCTCCTTTTTGGTTTAAGTCATCTCATCTCCTCTTAAAGGTCCCCTATTATACTGTTTTTCATCAATATATTAGATATAGGTCTCAGATATATACAAAACATGTCTGAAGTGTTTGGCTCGAAATACCAAACAGATAGTGTATTGTAGCATCCCATAAACCCCTCTGTTTCAAAAGTGCTGATTCTCTGTCTGTTACTTTAGGCCTAGGCTCCACGGGGACGAAAACGGGTTGAATCCGCATATTTCTCTGGGGTATAGCCCTTTAAGCTCGACGACGCCGTAACGGAAACGTAGAAACAGACCCCGCAAACGACAACGGGTCCAAAGGTGGATAGATCTGGGAACGGAGCGCTCTGGGGGGTCCAACGGGGCCGTGGGGTCGCCTATACGGTCATCCGTTTCATAGCCCCGCCTCTCCCCGCCTCTGTTGCTCAACCCCGCAAAAGTACACTGCACACTGAATTCAGATTATTTATCTTTATCTCGATATGGACATAAACGCGAGTGAAGTCTAATCTGACAGGACGGAGACACGCAGCTCCTCCGGCTGTGAAGCAGCGAGAGCAAAACACACACTTCAAGTCAGATCACCACCCTTAGCTATTACCTCTCAAACTACCTAAACTAGTTATAAATATGTTTATTTTTACTGTCGGGTTTACTTACTGGATCAGCTGCTGCATGAGGAAGCATGAAGATTTAAACTTTAACACACATTGACCGGCGAAAAACTCTGCGCGGTTCCCTCGGCCCCCACCCATGGATGTGCCCCCACCGCGGAGAATAAACAGAAGTGCAGCCATGACAACCATTCTTCTTCGCTGCTTTTGTGGAGGAAGTTGCTGCTTTTGTGGAGGAAGTTACAGCGCCACGTACAGGTTCGGCATATGTACTGCAGCTTTTCCAGCGGTTGGATGTAAACGGAGCCGTCTCGTGGAGCTTGACACAATCCGGTGTATATTGCGTGAGGACGGAAGGTTTTTTCGGTTGCGTTTGCGTTAATCCTATGCGTTTTGCCGTATGGGTTCCCGTGGAGCTGGGGCCTTAGATGAAAATAAGGAGCGCCCCTCAGAGATATTTGGTTAAAAAGAACACAATGGTGCTCTAGGAGGAGATTCAGGTGATAAGGGGGGGGGAGGGGGTTACCTTGGTTGGTGATTGGCTAATGGTTACACAAGCCAAAAAAATCGTTATGACATCATAAAGTGGCCAAAATCTGATCAGCTCATTTTCAGACAGGTTTTTATATAAATGGATCAGGACAAAAAGTGAGCGAATCTTTTTTTCCTGAAAGTTTCAGAATCTCTTTACACAAGGGGACACATGTTTATGTATAAAATACATGAAAAAGTGGATTTTGCACAATAGGTGACCTTTAAGCACCAACCTCGTCGTTGAGCCAGCCTCCTTCCTGCAGCGTGGCCAGATCTCTCTGTGTGATGTGCAGTTTGAACGCCGCGCTGAGAACCAGGTTGGGATCACTCTGAGCCAGAGCACAACTCACCTCGGCTGACATCTCCTACACACAAAGACAAATAAATTCATGAAATTAAATATTGTTTCCGTGCTTTCTTCATCACAGTGACTACACCTCATTTTTAAGAATCTCACCTTGGTCAGCCTGGGTATGTCTTCATCGCTGTGCCTTGTATGTGCAGGATGGGAGTCAGGGAGGCTGACAGCAGAAGTCTCTCTGTCCACTAGGTTGAGGCGAGTAGCTACTTCTGTAGAAAGATCCAAATCGGCTGCCTGTTTCTGCTGCAACACAGGCTGACATAACAGACAGATATAATACATCCGCTTTCCGCCCCTAAATATAACTTAATGGATGCTTTGACATGAGAGAGCGAGAGAAATGACTACCTTTGCACATCTCACAGGCTGCTTCTCGTCAAAGGGTCCACTGAATGTTTTACTAAAAGTCAGGCTTCCCCATCTGAAGATGAATCATATGGATGTTAGTAGAATGAACAGAATGAATCAGTATACATAAAATTGAGACGATGTATAAATAAGCGCACTACACTAACCTGTCCTTGGTTGCAGATGTATTTCTCCATGCAAACATACTAGGAGCAGCTGTGCAAAAAAAGATGTATTTTAACTTAAGAATGGACATATTTCAACCTAGTTTATGTGAAATGACTCTGTGAAATGACTGTGTAATATTATGTGAAAACTGGCCTTTTTATTCAAGGAATTGTTTAAATATATTTACAACAAATATTATAGCTCAACAGGACTCTGAATAAAAACAACACTTAAAACTATCCATCACAAACAAATACATTTACAGATGCAGATCACTTTATTTGTATAGGTATCCTACCTGTGTATCCCATTTTCCTGGGCACTGGTTCAAAGGCTTTTCCGGAGGCAGCAGTTTTGTGAACACCCTGTGACAGCGACTCACTGGGAGCAAAAGAAAAAGAAGATATAACAGAAGTTCATGTCCTAAGGTAAAGTTGTTATATGGAACTTGGACAGATGTTCAATTACTCCATGTGAATAATGGGTAAACTTACTCTTTTGGTTTTGTTTGGTTGAAAGGTAGTGGTTGGCTTTTGCTGTGTTGCTCTGTCACCCTCTCCAGCAAGCGCCTGTAGTGTTCCTTGTTGTACTGCTTTATATCCTGAAGCGAGAACCCAAGTGATGCCGAGTGTTAAAGCATGATTAGTGACGATCCTCTTGGCAAATACAACTTAAATCTACATTGGGTGCTCTGAAAGCAGAAAGTGGTTGAAATAGTCCAATCCAATTAAGCCAACAAATGTACTTTATTACCTCTTCTACAGTAAGAATGGGCTTGTAGCAGCGAGTATGTCCAAAGCTATTGCAGGTTGGATCTGGGTTAGTGGTTCCTACTCTCTGAGCAGGTCTGGAGGGCAGCAGCTGAAGGGAGGCTCTCCTCTCCCGATCCTTCCCCCTGTCCGAGAGCACCGCGGACAGATTCGCCCCGCTGCATTCAAAAAGGGATAGTTACATTAGCAGTGGAGCATTTAAAAAAGGTGATACTGCTGAATATGCAGCCCTGTATATAGAGAAAGGGAACTGGGTCTGGACTTGCCTGTATTTCCTCATTAAAGGAGGAGAGGAGCTCTGAAAGGGATTCTTCCCACTCCTATCATTCACTCCACCTATTGGGTTAACTGTGAAGAAACAACAAAGTCAACCAAATGAAACTGGGGAAAAAGGATTGGAGGAACACTCAGTGAAGAGTGCCGATAAAAAAAACTTGATATAAATACAGTCAACGTATAATTCTTCTCCTGCAGTAACAGCAGCCCTCACTTACTCATTCTCCACTCGGTCCTGTTCAGCCACGAGGTTTGGAGCTCATCTATCCCTATCAGAGTGACAGGCTGGATCAAAACAGGAAATGCAAGGTCATTGAAGATGGAGAATACATATATTTAATGCCAGAGCACATTTGATATTACGGTTAGGAATCTGGTCACAGAAGAAAATGACTTCTAATAACCATTTCATGTGTTGCCCAAGAAAAGCCTTCAAAACCCTGCCTTGGTTGTATTTTGTAGAATATTTAACTGTATCTACATGTGGTTTTGTAGGTTTATTTCAGTATATGTAAACTACAAAGGGTAACGCTTCAATGCATACACATACATGCCCAAATGTGCTTTTAGCTCATTTTGGATTTAACACACTTCTATTTAGAACTGTTAACGGCTAACCCAGGGTGCATGTGCCACTCCTCTGCAGATGATGAATTTAATGAGACGAGGCGTCTACTCAATAGCTTTGCATCTGCATTAATCTGACTGATTTCTCTGTTTTGAACTTCAAATGCCCATATGATGAATGTAGTTGGAGCACAAACCTGCGTGTCTTCATAATGTTCAGGCTTCACACTGGTCTTCCGCGGGTTGTGCAGCCTGAGCAGACCTGCTACACCGGCCACAGTCTTCTTCACAAAGCTAATGACTACATCTGAAAAACAGGACACCACAATTAACAACTTGCGTCTTCATTTGTGGGAGACAATTTGGAATCATTATTAAGCTTTTCTATTTATTGTACAAACCTCGCCTATTTCTTTTCACCTCTACCTGGTCACTCTGGCAAACACTGTCTGCAACATCAACACTGAAACAAGAAAATAACATTTTGAGATGGGTGATACTAATAATATAAAATATAACAATATTCCCAACTCAGTGACATTATATCAACAATTTGAGGACATATTTGGGTTCGATTCAGGTAAACATGTCTAAATGTGTCAGTCTAATACAAAAGAGAAGGAGGTTTCTACTATTAAGTGTAGGGTTAGGGTTAGTATGATATAAAAAAGTTGTAGGCCAAATTGTAGGGCTGAAACCAATTATGTTAATTATCAAGTAAAAATAAGCTGCACAATTAGTCCTTTTATTGGAAAATATGGAGACCAAGATGTTTATTTCTACTAAAATATGTTTTGTAAACCCAAAAGTCCAAAACCCAAAAATATTACAATTCAGTCGTATAGAAAAGAGCACAAAACAAAAACGGATAATTCATTCATAGTTTATTGCAGGACCATGATATTAGAATGCGTGAATAATAGCTAAGTGTATGATTGTACATGATAACATAGAAGGTAACTGTAATGTTATTTGGGGTTAGCCCAAACATTACACATGGCTGATTTCGTTTTGTTTTAAATGGACGTTTCATATTATGCTCAGGACAACTCATGAATTAACTTAACTGCAGCATGAAAGACACACTTGAACTGTTAGGCTAGCAGTGTGCCAAATCTACTATTACGATATTTTGGTGACGTAAATTGTTCACTCGGATCATTTAACATGATTAGCATGAATTAGTGTTAGCTGGTTAACGTTAGCTGCATAACGTTCGATGACGTTACAGGAGCCAACGTTCCTATTATGTTATGATTCAATTGGTAACTTTATATAACGTGAATCAAACCTTTAGATAACAAAGAAGATATAATGGCGCACCATCAACTCAACTATTGATAGTGAGCACCTACATAGGACTACAATAACAGCCTTTAGATGATCCACCGACCTCTGGTAGTTCCGTTTGGCCGGTCTGATGAGGCTCTCGTGCCGCTGCTCTTCTACGCCAGGTCGCGTGGGTATGTCCTGGCTAACGTTACCTTTCCCGGGCCACTCGGTGTGGTTCTGCCCAGTAACGGGCTCAAACAGCGATGAGATTCCGTCAACTATCCATCCATACATTCCAGACACATACGAGAGAATTGTAACGGGGTCTTCTACGCGGTCCAGGACTAATTTCACCACAGATAAGATGTCAACAAACGGTCTACGACACACCGCCTGCCGTTGGGGTTAGCTCAGTTAGCAGCACTAGCACTGCGAGGATGTGCGTCATTCAGTGTTGATGTTTTACGTGGTGCGAATGTTCTACTCACCAACGGGAAACGGGTGGGCGGAGTTCTAATGGGAACTTTGTGTGGAAAGATGAAATGGAGGAACCACCACACGCGGCTTCTACGAGCCTTATAAACAAGCAAACCCCCTGACAGTGACAGAGAGGGTAAAGAGCGTCAGTTATGGCGTCAGTAGAGATCACTAGCTGCTTCTGAGCTGCTTAGTTATCTATAATTTGTTACATAATATTTCTTAGTAATTCCCATTTACTATATCCCTGCGAGTCTTGAGAAGACAATCACATGAGGATAGGTATTACGTATCTATGAGTTGATTAAATTAGATTTGAATGTTGCTGCAGAAACTAGTGTCCTATCTTTGATACAAATGTGAGCCTGATTCCAGGAAAAGGAAATCAATAATTATTGGTATACATTATGACTTGTTTGAAATTGAAAATAATTATTTAGAAAAATATATCTAGTAAATGTACTTGGTAATAGTGTTTGTTTAAAACCCAAACGTAACATGTTTTTCTTTTTGGATTATTTAAATCAGTAAAAAGTTAAAACCAACGAATGGTGTATGTGTATACATATACATATATACATATATATATATACACACATACACACACACACACACCATTCGTTGGTTTCTCGTGTTTTTTTATATATATATATATATATATACATACACACACCATTCGTTGGTTTCTCGTGTTTTTTTATATATATATATACACACACACCATTCGTTGGTTTCTCGTGTTTTTTTATATATATATATATTGTATCTCCTGCATTTTGCAAGTTGATTCATAATTTGTCAAATACATAAGTTTACAATTATCTCATGGTTTTAGCAATAGACATCATAGTAAGCAAACATTGGATTTACTATCTCTTAAATGTCTATAGTAGTTAACAGGGTACAGAATTATAAAAGCAAATATTTTATATATAATTTTTTTTAATACAAAATATAATATTAGCCTGTCTGAAGTTTATATAAACAAAAACAGCACATGATAATATGGGTTGATTCATAAAGAACTTTCACTCTGCAAGAGTGTGTAGAGATAAGAGTACATCAACTCAGGATATACTTAAATTGTGAGCTGCAGTAAAATAAAGTCAGTCCGTTTGGTTTGTAAACACACATTTATCAACTTTATAGTAGAAACATAGATAATGCATAAAAAACACTTATAGTTCAATGTTATGCAATAATGTGCCCATTAGGCATGTTGATTACAGATTCTCAGTAAAAATTAGTGCAAATTTGGACGCATGTATAATGAACATCAGTCCTATTTACAAGCACAAAAGCGTATAAAAACATTAGTAGAAAAATAACAAACAGCACTTTAAAATAATGAAAAACATTTGTTCTTGCAATATCTCGAGTGGCCTTCAAATAATCAATATACAGAGAGCAGAACAATTACAATAGAACATTTCAAAAATAATTTATGTACTTATAAAATCACGTCACCCAAAAATTAAATATATTCCTTTCTACATATTTCTACATGGGTGCAAGGCATGGACAGTTTTGGAACAAAATGCTGACAAGAGGCAATTCATTCAGCGTCGGATCACTTTGGGTCGGGCTGGAAAGCAGACGAATCTGATAGGACACACAAAAAAATAAGGATTATCAGACAAAGTGAACCGCAGCATTCTGTACAATTTTATTCCAAGCAATCATAAAGTTAAAAACAAACCCACCAATAATGGGCTGATGTTGTAATCCAAATTAATGTTGTGTTCCATTGACAGTATTATTATATCACATTGTTGGAACAGATAAAGGCACCAAACTCTTTATCAATGATAACAAACTTACTGTTGACTGTTAAATATCAAGCTTATCTAGGTTAGTTTATCTTTATATCAAAGGCTTGATAGTTTGCAGAATACATTCAAAAGGTTTACATGTGCAATCTACAAAAAATTGGTTTAAATATAATTTAACATAAGGATCATAAACCTGCAGGGCATGTACCTCCAGATTATTACCCCATACTGCACTCCGTGAATGATGAAAAGTCGGCACCCGTGTCATAAGAGGTGTATTATACTTCTTTATTATTTGGTGGAGTGAGTACGTTACACTCACACTCTCCTGGACCATTCACGTAAGGGGCAACAAGCAGCTCAGGTACAGCCACGTCCTATTGTCCTGCAGCCAGCGCTGCCGATTACCAATCATATCAGGGGAACAAGGTGGCTGTATCCTCCTTTCCTCTTCAGGGGACAGGGCTACAGTATATGAGTCTTGCTTACTTGTTTGGGAGATGATAGAGCACACAGGTTTTCTGGAATTGAATAACATGCTGTTTTACAGGAAGTGTTTGGCCATCCATCACAAAATCTGAATTGTTCCTATATTAACTTGTCTTGTGTCTGTTTTTTTCCACAGGTGAATTGGAAAACACTTCCCAAAAACAAGTGACCAAATTAGGAGACATGCCCCTAATGCTGGGATCAGACTACACAATGTTATTGTCCTTTGATAGACGGATTGTGTCAGATTAGGCAATCAGAGTCTAAGGTTTTTGCATGACTCTGATGAGTAACGTGGCAGACTAAACAGAAATGACCCATCATAGCTTGACAATCTTGACCATTACCCTCGTGATTGTTGTCTGATCTCTGCATTAGAGCTATACATCATGAACCCAGTGCCCTGTAACATCTCCCAGTGTGATATTTGTTATTATTCCTGGATAGGTGGTGAGAACCCGAACAGTTGTGCTTATGTTTAAGATTGAATCTTATCTGTTTTTGAGTGGGATGCCTTAAAGTTTGTGGGTCACGACTGTAATTTCTAACCTGATTGCACGCTGCTCTGAGCTTCAAAAACTAGTCCATGATAAACGACCAACAGAGTGCAAAACAAAAAGTGACATTGACCCCAAATCTTTAACCGATGAAACAACCCTTTTGTAGACCTTACACCCTGTGTTTCCAGTTTTCATCAAGTGTGTGACTTTAGTGCTGTAAATCCCTGGTTTCACCTTACAGAGAGTTAACTCCCCTCACCTTGTCTTGCTCCAACCAATCGCTGCTGGACTTTCTCTAGATGGTGGATATATTCTGTCAGAGATCGCTCTGGATCCTGAGACGTTCCTCCTGACGTCTCCAAAAACGGAGTAGGGCTGGAGTACGACCTGGAAAGAAAAAAGCTTATTAATGAGAAATTACTTTATTCCTATAGAATCTCAGAATCTACTATTCAATAAGGGCCCAAACCTGTTGTGCAACCTGAAGGGGGATTTTTTGGGCGGAACGAGAGCTGACACTGTGTCTCTGTGGACGGAACTGCTGTCTCTGTTTGGTGGCGATTCAAAATGTATTCTTGGCTGTTGTTGCCTTAAAACTTCAGCTTTAGGTCCTGTAAAAAACATCAAGATTACAATTACACCCACTCACACACACACACACACAGCGTAAAGGGATGCATATCATCATAAATCATTTTTGAGCTCACCTGGAGCATGTCCATTGACACTCCCAGTGATGGATAATCTTTTGATCGCTTTCTGCCACTTCCTGGTTAAGAATTTCATTCTGAAAGAAATCGTCTGATCAGTTTTATCCACAGACCAGTCGTGACAAACTCTCATATCTTTACATCCTGCTACACTTCTTCTTACCTTGAGACAGCAATGACAACTCCTACAACAGCTCTAAATCGACTGCGGGGTCTGTTGTAGGAGGAGAGGGGGGGAGTCGGCCATGCCCCCATACGTGCGATGAGACACAGTGTGGCCTGCTCACACTCCTGGAATCCTCCCAACAGCAGTATGAGGTAACGTTTCTGGTACACCAGAGCTTTCCTGAAGCTCTCAGCACGCAGGTAGCGCTCATACAGACGATGCACCTGCAAAACAATAAACACAGGTATCGTTTAATCCTTGGTCCATAAAATGTCTGGAAATAATGTAAAAAGTTAATCTCAATTTCTCAAAATGTAATGTGATGTATTTTTATGTCTTGTTAAAATCGAGTCCAGTCCCCAAAATATTTAGTTTAATTTAAATAAAACGGAGAAAAGCAAGAAAACACAACAGGAGCATATTGTAGCATTTGTGCTTTTAAAAAAAAGCACTTAATAGACAAATATAAATGGCAAATATCTTTCTCTGCAACTAATTGTTAAGCCAACATATATTAAATGTTTTGATTTACTTAAGTGGGCCCCCTCTTGCTGCACCATCAACGCAGTGATAAATCTTTCATCAGCTGTCCAAGAACAGATTTGTACCTTGGCGTTGCTGATCACATCGTTGATGGGTCTGTTTTCAGTTTCCGTGGTGACCTTGGCCAGCTCGTTCTCCGTGAGCCGCAGCTCTCGCTCCAGGAAGGTGAGTCTGTGTTTGAGGGTGGCTTTCTCCTGGCTGAGCGATGTCACACGCTGCGTCAGCTCCGAGTTCTCCTTCATCACCCTTTCCAGCAGATTCTGTGACGACGGCATCTAGGGAGTGGACGGTACATTCATTTCACAACAGTCCAGTGAGTGTATTCCTATATATTACTAGCATGACTAGCATCTAAAAATGATATAGTAGAGGGGTCTGTGGCTGGTTCCACTGCAGTAATAACCACGTGTGTACCTGCTGGTTGTGTTGTGCGATGCCTGTCTGGAAGTCACTCTGGAGATGCTGTGAAGATGCAGCCATGTTATGCTGCCTCAGCCTCTGAGTAGACATTTCTTTCTCCTCTCTTTCCAGCTCTACCAGAGTGTGCTGCAGCTCCTGCATGCGCTGCTGGTCCTGTTGCCTCAACATCTCCAGCTCACACTAAAGTAAGAAATGTTTATAAAAAGGAGCATGTGTGTGAGGAACAAAAATGATCTTAAACGCATCTAAAAAGTAGAATTACATTTGTCAAAGTGGTGAGTATAGTTAAGAAGCTTATTATATTTTACCAGTTTGTCATTGGTCCTCTCTTGTCGTCTCTCCCTCTCCATCTGCTCCTGCCTTCCCTTCTTCCTCTCTC